TAAACCTGCATCTCCTGCATCATCAGGCGGAGCTTCCTCGTGGTTCAGCTGGTGAAGAATCCTCCTGCAAACTGGGAGACCTGGGTTTGATCCCTGGGTTGGGAGGATCCCCTGGAGAAAGGAACAGCTACACACTCCAGTACTATGGCCTGGAGAATTCCATGGATTGTATAGTCCTTGGGGTCGCGAAGAGTCAGACATGACAAAGCTACTTTCACACTCTTTACTACTGAGCCAAGGGCATGAACTAAAACAAACAGCAAATAAAGCCAGTTAAAAGGTAAAGGGCTTCCTATGTGCTTTGATAAATTGTTGCCAAAACTAAATTGTACATAGTTACACACACACACACACACACACACATTTAGCCCAAAGATAAGAAAAAAATGGTTTACAGGTAGGTTTGGGGACTATTTGTCTCTAAAGAAAAATTATACAATAACATTCCCCATATAGGTTAAATATCTGGAAAATTCTATCTGAAATGTAGGTTGCAATTAAGAGTCATCCCCAAATCCTTTTGCAACAAATAAAGATGTCAAAAAACCATGCATGAACTGTTCCCTTCACGAAAAAAATGTTCTGGGGTCTCACACAGAATACATACTCTTTCAACATATACAAGGATAATGAGCTGGGATCAAAGTGCTCTCATCACAGGAAACTGAAGGCAATAAGTAGGAACTAGAACTGGGTGCTAAAAGCAGCTGTAATGCTCCTATAAAAACATAAAACTAGATATTCAACATAAGAGAAAGAAAGGCAAATTAAGTACAAACATAGAAACTCAGAAACTATCTCCAGAGTAGAGTCCAACTGTCATGCATATATCAGTAAATCCCAAGGGCAAAATTCCATGGTATTTAATATAATTCACATTCATTTTTATGTCCTCAAAATAAAGTTAATCTGTGTCCAGAAGTTCCATTTCTTCGTCGGTATGAAGATAGGCTATCTGTGGTTCATGTCAATAAGTTTACCTTGCAGAGAATTTAGTTACCCTCACATGGAAAACTTTTATATGTAGATCAAATACTTGTCAATGATCCTTAATTATTTTATTCATTCAAAACAAGTATATTGAGTGTCATTGCACCCATAGATCAAAATCCCACCCTTGAGTAGCTTACAATTGTGAGATAAACAGTGAGGAGTCCTGGTAATTCACTAACAAAATCAAGTATGTATGAAAACTAAATATATCAATTTTCTGTATTCCATGTTGGTGAGAATGTAAATTGGTACAGCTATTATGAAGAACAGTATGGAGGTTCCTCAAAAAATTAAAAATAGCACTACTATATGACCTATAAATTCCACTTGAGTATGGACCCAAAGGAAATAAAATCACCATTTCAAAGAGATATCTTCAGTCCCATATTCAGTGCATAACTATTCACAACAGCCAAGACATGGAAACAATATAAGTGCCCATCAATAGATGGACAGCTAAAGAGAGTGATATATATTACATGCAATAGAATACTGTTCAGCCATAAAAAAGAAAATCCTACCATTAATGGCTACATGGATGGACCTTGAAGGCATTATGTAATAGGAAAGAATCTTTTGTATCTAAGTTAATGGCATGTAAGTTTAAATTACACATAATGACCTATCTCTGGCAGCCGTGCCTCCCAGGTAATGAGCATTAAACTAAAATACTTTTGCTTAGCTCACAGGAAACATCCTGACTAGGACCAGCTGTGAATGACTACAGGAAGATTCCCTCCAGAGGCTAACAGGAACCAGGAAATGTTTGATTTACTACCCCCGCCTCCCTCCACACACACACTTTTAGTATAAAAGAAGCCTGAATTCTAATTCAGGCAAGATGGTTCTTTGGGGCATGAGTCTACCTTCTCAGTTTGCTGGCTTTCTGAATAAAGTTGCTATTCCTTGCCCCAACAACTCATTTCTTGATTCATTAGCCTGTCATGAAGTGAGCAGTATGAGCTTGAACTCTGTAACAATTACGTTAAGTTAAATAAGTCAGAAAAAGGCAAATATTATACAATTTTCTTTTTATATGGAATCTAAAAGTATCTAACTCATAGAAAAAGAGTAGAATGGTGATTTCCAGGAGATTGAGGATGGGAGAAATGGGAAGATCTTGATCAAAAGTACAAACTTCTAATTATGAGATAAATAAGTTCTGGGAATTCAATGTATAGCATCGTGACTACAGTTAACCATTTTACATCATGTATTTTAAAGGTGCTAAGAGAATAGATCTTAAATTTTCACATCACACACAGAGATACACACACAAAATAACTGTGAGGCGATAGAGATGTCAAGTAACTTTATTGTGGTAGTCATTTAAAAAATATATGTACACCAAATCATCCATCACATTGTATGCCTTAAACTTGGGTCAATTATATCTTAATATAACTGAAAAAAATTTTCTGTGTTCCAAAAGTGGGCTCAGAATACACCTTGTTATCTAAAAGTGAAGATTAATTTCTGAAAGATACTGACCTGGATTTAGCCTATAAAATAGGGCTTCCCCATCTATAAAAAATGAAACAAAAAAAAAGTGACAACATTTAGATCATTTTATACTTCTATATAGCATATTTTTTTTTAGCATGTTTTAAAGCAGTCAGAATAGTTCTATCATTTCCATTCTTCTTTTAAGTTCAATATAAGCAATCTACTTTTCATATAAATCAGTTATTTCAATATTAATTTATTATTTTGGATCTTTCTTATTTAACAAATCTCATCTACATAGATATACATAGTATATTTACCTATCAATATACTTAAAAGTTTCATTGTCAGCACATTCTTGGGAACAAAGGTAGCCAATTAAATTAAATTCACACATTAATATTAACCAATACTTTATATCTTTAATACTAGTTATATGTTTTACAGCTGCCAACATGAAGTTTATTTTCTGATTTATATTTCACTTGATTTTCCCTAAACATTTTCTGGTTAATGTGTTCATAAACAATGAATTAGAACAAAAAGGGGAAGAAGATAATCAGTTGTACAGATTTTACTCGAGAGGACAAAATAGTCTGGGAATAAAATAAGAACTGATTATCTATTTCATGCCAAATCTACTGAAGATTTATTCCCACTTAGCCAGGGAACTGTTTATTTCTTTGTATATATTTGTTGTTGTTCAGTCACTCAGGCATGTCTGACTCTTTGCAACCCCATGGACTGCAGCACACCAGACTTTTCTGTCCTTCATCATCTCCCGGAACTTGCTCAAACTCATGTCCATTGAGTCAGTGACACTATCCAACCATCTCATTCTCTGTCATCCCCTTCTCCTCCTGCCTTCGATCTTTCCCAGCATTAGAGTCTTTTCTGACAAGTCAGTTCTTCATATCTATATGTTTATGGTTAATTTAACAATACAAATATTTCCTCTGCCTGATTTTATGAATGTCTTCTAAATATTTGCTTTCTCCAAATTGTGGTCACTAATTCCTTACCATCCTGTAACCTACTGAAAATGAAGGGAATCTGTTTGGATCCTAAAGTTCATTGACTAAGAGCAACAAAAATTCATTTTCACTAAGGCATGTGGAATTTCTTTTTCCAGGTATACTCCTTAGTTCTCACTGTGAACTTAAAAAATTTCTGAATTTTGTCAATCAATAACCAGCCTATGGAAATCCTATTGAAACATTTGTGATCATTTACCAGAACTAACATGGAGATCTAGGAATTTACTTTGGAAACATTCTCCAGTTATCTGGTGAATTTAATATACTTTAGCAAATACAAGGAGAAGGCAACGGCACCCCACTCCAGGACTTTTGCCTGGAAAATCCCATGTACTGAGGAGCCTGGTGGGCTGCAGACCATGGGCTCGCTAAGAGTCAGACAAGACTGAGCGACTTCACTTTCACTTTTCATTTTCATGCATTGAAGGAAATGCCAGCCCACTCCAGTGTTCTTGCCTGGAGAATCCCAGGGACGGCGGAGCCTGGTGGGCTGCCGTCTGTGGGGTCCAACAGAGTCAGACACGACTGAGCGACTTAGCAGCTGCAGCAGCAGCAGCAAATACAAACCCATTTTGTTGTGATATATCATTTATGTTTTGAAAATGAAAATAATATTTCATGATCTATTACTTAAGATATAAGAAACATATTTATGTGAACATAAAGAATATTTATATTTATATAAAATAGAAGCAAATATTATAGAAAAATGCTATGTAAGATTATGAAAGTCTCCATTACTTGAAATAACATTTTCTAATGGTCTATCAATTTCCCATGTAGCCAGATTAAGAATAGGAATGTTTTCTCTTAATCATAGCAAATAATTATAGTCTTCTTCATTCTAATTTCTCACATAAAATTAAAATGTGTCCAACTCCTAAATTTATAAAATAGATTTTTAAATTTCAATATATAACTAATATCTCTTTTTCAGACTTTTCTCCTTATGTTTAGATGTTACAGTTTTCCTACACTTTTCAGAAACAAAATTAAGGTTGAGAAATACATTTGTTTCTAAATATTTTTATTTTGTTTTGCTCATTTAAAAAATATTTATTAGCAATATTACCTTTCAATAAACTCTAGAAATTAATTAGTTGATTTTCTATAATATCCATGAAAGTGTTAGTTTAAGAAACATTCTCCTTATAAAATTTTTCTTTGATGATGAGCCAGTCTTTTAACTGGTGATACTTTTATGATTTGTGAAAACTGAAATTATTGATATGGGTCTTTAGTCTTGAGGTAGATGCAAGCTCAAAACAAAGTCATCAAAAACCTGTTCACTAATATCTCTAAGCATATGGATTACAGATAAAGATATTCCCTTAAGACAGGCTTGTTAAAGCTGAAATTATACATAACAAAATTAAAATCTAATTTTCTTACTTATTATCCTACTCATGGTACAGGAAAGATTTCCCAGAAGAAAAATATTTGAAATCTAGAACATGAAACACTTCAACAAATATATGCATGGATCTATCAAACATGGAAGGATTCTCTAAATTAGTCATTTACCTTTGCAGATGATGCAAAGTGCCACAACCAAAGACAAAACTATTAACTTCATGATGGTGGGTGGGACCTAGAAGCAGAAAACAGTCATCGTGGAGAATCAGATCCATAGTGTTCATTCTATCTGGAGCTTTTATACTCATTCATACCACTGTCTTTCATCACGGGCTAGGTGTGGTAAGCTTAGTGATGACAGGGCAAAGGTAAATATCATAGCACACCAGAGATGAAATCCATCTCAAGTCAGTTTAGTGTCTTATTTCTGTGACATCTTCTATCTTGAATTAAGTCCAGCTCATGCCAAACACAGACCATGCCTTCTTGCCGCCCTAGGCAAACAGCTAAGGCAGGAACTAAAAGTCCCAGGATTAAAAATCAAATATACCAATGATGTACATTTATCTGTACTCTATTAATCATTGCAAAAGTCATAATACCTCAAGAAACTCAAATACTATGATTAAATATTGTAATTGTCTCTGTTAACAACGAAATGTATTTTAAACATTAACCTACCTGGAGACAAAGAACTCTTTTCTTATTGATATATTAACAGGTATTTCCTTAGAGAAATATATGACTATCACATAGGGTATACACATAGACATACTGATGTATTTAAATGCACCATGGTTATAGTAATTATTACTCACAAGGATACATAATTCCCCAATAATACACATTTTACCATGAAATTTATAATCAGACATATAAGCAAGTAGAAGATGTATGAAAGCAAGAACATCAGAAAAAATGTTTCTGGCCAAAACTTGAATACAAAATGCCATCCATGAATTATATATGTTAGCAAAATCAAGCTCAAATTAGGATTTAGAAAGAGAAGATTCAATCAGCTGAGCAGGTAGAGAGGATTGAATGCCTGATACTGGTCAATTGGACCTGAAAAACAGAAGGGCTGGACACCATGGCTTTGATGATGCTTTGATGCTTTTCATGGCTTTGACCTGCTTCTCATCTGCCCCCAATCACTACCAAAGAAAAACTTCAGAGGGAAAATAGCCTTCAGTTTATTCTCTCCAGAAAAGCAGAAGAATCCCAAGAAAGGGAAAAGGTATAAAAACCTTCATTTCCTTCCCCTTTATTCAGTCATGTCTCCACTAATTTCAAGGAAAAAGTGATGCCTGCCTCTTTTGAGGGCCTCCTCAGTACATGCTGACTGCTTGTGCTACTGGGCTCCGTGGTCCTGAAGATCTTGCTGAATTCTTAGATCATTTCGAAAAGGGGCAGAATTACGCAGATTTATACACTTAAAATTCACTCGCTTATTCAAGGTAACACATTTATTGAAGGCCAGGAATTTTTTAATCTGACATCAGTGAAAGTACCAGATGTTTACCAGTAGAACAGAAACCCCAGAGAGAGGAACAGAGAAGCAATGGGGAGAAGGCTTTCATGCCACGAACGGAGAGGGAGGTAACAGAGGATTACTTCACCAACCATATTTTTTTCAAACCCAGCTCTGATCCTTTAAATAACTCACAAATAAAGACTGCATGGTGAGAATTTTTCTCCAACACAGAAAACAAAAGTACAATTCAGAGAGAACATTGCCACCATTAAATACTGCCATTTGTGATGTTCTTTTCATGAATCATACACTTCCTTGTAGAGATTTGGTCCCTTCACATTATCATTGTGACATAATTATTCTTTCATGTGCTTGACTGGGGGCTTAGGCATGTTGGAGACCTGAATGAAACATAAAGTTACTTACAGGCTTTTGAGGGAAATAAGAATACATGAAAGATAGAAATTTTCTATAAGTAGAGTTTAGTATGCAACACTATCAAAATTCCAAGAAAGACAGAGATTTTTTTCACCTTGAGAAAATCAGGGAAATTTTCATGGTTTCATAGTCTAAGGGCTGGAAAAAGACTTGGACACGCAGAATCAGGGAAAGATTCCAAGTGGGAAATGCATTAAGAATAAAGGCAAATGCAATTTCAAAATTTCAGTGTCTTCCCTCTTTCCAGATCACTACTTCTAGTAGTCTGATTATAACAATCCACTGATTCCCACTCAGAACTATAATCCATCGAGCCTATTTACCTTGCATTCATTTCATGAAAAGAGTGAACATCAACATTTTAGGAATAAGTAAAATAAAATGGACTAGAAAGTGTGAATTTAATTCAGATGACCACTATATCTACTTCTGCAGTCAAGAATTCCTTAGCAGAAATGGAGTAGCCCTCACAGTTAAAATGCAGTAATTTGACGCAATCTTAAAAACAACAGAATTATCTCAGTTCGTTTCCAAGGCAAACCATTCAACATCACAGTAATTCAAGTCTATGCCCCAACCACAAATGCCAAAGAAGCTGAAGTTGAACTGTTTTATGAAGACCTACAAAATCTTTTAGAACTAACTCTAAAAAAAAAAAAAAAGATGTCCTTTTCATCATAGGGGATTGGAATACAAAATGCGGAAGACTAGAGGTACCTGGAACAACAGGCAAGTTTGGCCTTGGAGTACGAAATGAGGCAGGACAAAGGCTAACAGAGTTTTGCCAAGATAATGCATTGGTCATAGAAAACACAGTCTTCCAACATCTCGAGAGACAAATCTACACACGGACCTCACCAGGGCAATACTGAAATCAGATTGATTACATTCTTTGCAGCAGAAGATAGAAAAGCTCTATACACTTAGCAAAAACAAGAACATGAGGGGGCTCTGGTTCAGATCATGAGCTCTTATTGCAAAATTCAGACTTAAATTGAAGAAAGTGGGGAAAACCACTAGGCCACTCAGTTCAGTCATTCATCATATCTGACACTTTGCAACCCCATGGACTGAAGCACGCCAGGCTTCCCTGTCCATCACCAACTCTTGGAGCTTGCTCACACTCAATGTCCATCAAGTCAGTGACGCCATCCAACCATCTCATCCTCTGTCATCCCCTTCTCCTCCTGCCTTCAATATTTCCTGGCATCAGAGTCTCTTCCAATGAGTCAATTCTTCACATCAGGTGGCCAAAGTATTGGAGCTTCAGCTCCAATATCCAGTATTCAGTTCTTCCAATGAATAGTCAAAATGGATTTCCTTTAGGATTGACAGTTTGGATCTCCCTGCAGTCCAAGGGACTCTCCAGGGTTTTCTCCAACACCACAGTTCAAAAGCATCAATTCTTTGGTGTCCAGCTTTCTTTATAGTCCAACTCTCACATCAATACATGACTACTGGAAAAACCATAGCCTTGACTAGATGGACCTTTGTTGGCAAGGTAATGTCTCTGCTTTTTAATATGCTGTCTAGATTGGTCATGATTTTCTTCCAAGGAGCAAGCATCTTTTAATTTCATGGCTGCAGTCACCATCTGCAGTGATTTTGGAGTCCCCCAAAATAAAGTCTCTTCTTGTTTCCAGTGTTTCCCCATCTATTTGCCATGAAGTGATGGGATTGGATGACATGATCTTCATTTTTGGAGTGTTGAGTTTTAAGCCAGCTTTTTCACTCTCCTCTTTCACTTTTATCAAGAGGCTCTTTAGTTCTTCTTTGCTTTCTGCCGTAAGGGTGTTGTCATCTGCAAAACTGAAGCTTTTGATATTTCTCCCAGCAATCTTGATTCCAGCTTGTGCTTCATCTAGCCTGGCATTTCATATGATGTACTCTGCATAAAAGTTAAATAAACAGGGTGACAATATACAGCCTTGACGTACTCCTTTCCCTATTTGGAACCAGTCTGTTGTTCCATGTCCAGTTCTAACTGTTGCTTCTTGAACTGCATACAGATTTCTCAGGAGGCAGGTCAGGTGGTCTGGTATTCCCATGTCTTGAAGAATTTCCCACAGTTTGTTGTGATCCACACAGTCATCCAAGTCTCCTGTTGTGTTCCTGGACTCCCTGCTCCTGAAGATCTTGCTGAATTCTTAGATCATTTTGATCTAAGATCCATTGGATCCATTCAGGATGGCCTAAATCAAATCCCTTATGATTACACAGTGGAAGTGACAAATAGATTCAAGCAATTAGATCTGATAGGCAGAGTGCCTGAAGGAATATAGACAGAGGTTTATAACATTGTACAGGAGGCAGTGACCAAAACCATCCCCAAGAAAAAAGTAGTGCAAGAAGGCAAAATGGATAGGATAACCACAACAGTGTGGTCAATAAGTGTGAAGTCAAGTGTGCCTAAGGAAGCATTACTATGAACAAAGCTAGTGAAGGTAATGGAAGTTGAGCAGACTATTTCAAATCCTAAACGATGATGCTATTAAAGTGCCGCACTCAATATGTCAGCAAATTTGCAAAACTCAGCAGTGGACACAGGATTGGGAAAGGTCAGTTTTTATTTCAATCCCAAAGAAGGACAATGCCAAGGAATGTTCAAAATATTGCATAATTGTGCTCATTTCACATGGTATCAAGGCAATGATCAAAACCCTTCAAGCTAGGCTTCAACAGTATGTGAACCAAGAATTTCCAGCTGTACAAGCTGGATTTAGAAAAAACAGAGGAACCAGAGATCAAATTGCCAACATCTGCTGCATCATAGAAAAAGCAACGGAATTCCAGAAAAACATCTAACTTCTGCTTCATAGACTATGCTAGAGTCTTTGACCTGTGGATCACAACAAGTTGTGGAAAATTGTTAAAGAGATGGGAATACCAGACCACATTACCTGCTTCCTGAGAAACCTGTATGCAAGTCAAGAAGCAACAGTAAGGACCAGAAATGGAACATGGACTAGTTCAAAACTGGGAAAGGAATACATCAAGGCTGTATATAGTCACCCTGCTATTTAACTTACATGCAGAATAAATCATGCAAAATGCTGGATTGGGTGACTCACAAGCTGAAATAAAGATGACTAGGGGAAATATCAGCAACCTCAGATATGCAGATGACCCCACCCTAAGGGCGGAAAGCAAGAGGAACTAAAGAGTCTCTTGATGAAGGTGAAAAAGGTTAGTGAAAAGCTGGTTTGAAACTCAACATTCAAAAAACTAAGATCACAGGCATCCAATTGCATCACTTCATGGCAAATAGATGGGGAAACAAAGGAAATAGTGACAGACTTTATTTTCTT